ATTCGTCATACCGGTGATGTTAAGGAATATACGCACATCCGTTACGGTTCACCAGGGAGCTTTGATCGATTCAGGGTGCACCCGTTGTCTGATCCGTAGAGCAGTGGCCGATAGCCTAGGCCTTCATACCGTAAAGTTACGGACTCCAATACGGTTCGAACAAATGGATGGCTCTATGCTTGTAGGGGCACCAGCAACGCAGGTGACTGACCTCGTTAGACTAGATATAGGAGAGCAAAGGGAAAACATTTGATTTATAGTCGTTGAGCGTATGGTCGAACCTATTATATTGGGCCTAGCATGGTTGGATAAATGGAAGCCAACCATTTGGTGGGAGGGGGGGTTCCAGAGACTACGTCTGGTCATTGGACCAGACCCGGAACCAGAGGACCAACAACGGAAAGAACAAGTCCAAGATATGGTAGAAGGCATACAGCGATTCCAGCAGGCAGGGTTCCCAGAGATATGTAGGGATCTAGAGGCTGTTTTTGACGAGGAGGAATGTGAGATGTTACTTCCCCATAGAGCAACCGACTGTGCTATAGAGTTGATACCCAGCGCTAAATTACCAAAACCACGCATGTACGCCATGACCCAAAAAGAATTAGATGAACTTCGGAGATATATTTATAAGAACTTGGCCAGAGGCTTTATTCAGCCCAGTAGATCACGTATGGCGGCGCCCGTGTTGTTCTGGGAGAAGAAGGATGGAGGCTTGTGTCTCTGTGTGGATTTTCACGACTTGAACGCTGTGTTTGTCGAACACCTACACCCTCTGCCACTGATTAAGGACCTCTTAGTCACGTTGTCTACTGGGAGTGTGTTCATGAAACTGGATCTGAGAGAGGCCTATTATAGGATATGCATAAAATCAGGTGGTGAGTGAAAGACGACCTTTAACTGTCCTTTAGGTAGCTACAAATTCCAGGTAATGCCATTCGGGCTACAGGGTGCTCTGGCCGAGTTCATGCAGGTGATAAACGAGGTCCTGCATGAACACTTCTACCGAGGAATCCTTGTATACCTGGATGTCATTTTAATATACACCAAGACACTGGAAGAGCATACACAATTAGTACGGCGGCTATTGACCAAGTTACTACAAGCAAAGTTCTTCGTAAAACTCTCGAAATGCGAATTCCACCATTCGAGGTTGGATTACCTGGGGTATCGCATTTCAGGGGATGGGGTGGAAATGGACCCAAAGAAAGTGAGCACAGTACTGGAATGGCAAGCACCGGGGACAAGGAAACAATTGCAGTTTCCTTGGCTTTGCAAACTTCTATAGGCAATTTATTCTGGCCTTTGCTCAAGTAGCCCTACCCTTAACTGACCTTCTGCATATCAAATATACTGGCGTTAAGGCAAGGCCAGGACAAGTATTGGCATGGACACCTGAGTGCCAAAGAGTGTTTGAAAATCTGAAAAGCCTCTTCTCCCGAGAGCCGATACTCAAACATCCAGACCCTGCTTTAAAGTTCATAGTGCAGGCAGATGCTAGCGATGTAGCCATGGGAGCTGTCTTATTACAGAAAACCAAAGAGGGGAACTTGCATCCTTGTACTTATACGTCACGCAAATTGATGCCCACGGAAAGGGGTTGGGCCATTTGGGAAAAGGAGGCATTCGTGGTAAAATGGGCACTGCTCATGTGGCGACATATACTAGAAGGTATTGGTGATAGATTCGAAGTATGGACGGACCATAAAAACTTGGAGGCTCTCCAAACCCCCGAAAATTGTCGCCAAAACAGGTATGCTGAGCGCAATACTTCCAAAGATTCAATTTTGACTTGAAATACGTGCCAGGGGGGAAGAACTTTTTGGCTGATGCCTTATCACAAATGCCTCAATATAACAGCAAGAGGGATGAGATTATACAGGCAATGATACCGGAAAGTCAATGGGTGGGTAGGTCACACACCCCAGAACTCAAACCCTCGTGGCATGAAGAAATGCATCATGGGTTGAGCAAGGATTCTTGGCTTGCTGAGCATAAATCGACCATGACTCACTGAGACGGTCTTGCGGGGATGGGAACCAGGATGTATATACCTCGATCATTACGGTCTTTGGTATTACAAAGATGCCATGATGCAAAAGCACTGGTCACTTTGGTTTCCTCAAGATTTTGCACCTTACGAGATGCCAATTCTGGTGACCTAAGATGCGTAGCGACATTGAACAATATGTTCATCTTTTAATGTCATTTGCTGGGGGTTTTCTAGTCTCATATCTGTATCCTGCATCAGATTCCTTGTCATATCTTCCTGAATACATTGAAACATCAATAATATTTCTTTATAAACTGTATTTGTCTTCCCCTGTTGAAACATTTTGTAGTACTTTAATAGGCAGAAATATTCCACCAAGCACCAATATCCCAATTGCCCAGAAACACCAAAAATGCCAATATTAGTGAAGTTTACTCAGTCTCAGAACTGTTCCTCAAAATCCCCTACATTTATAGTCCTTAAAGTTTTCCAATTTGCTCCCTCTAAATTATCCAAATTTTTAAGTCTTATTTAATTTTTCTTCTTCCTTGTTCCACCTTGTAAGGTGTTCTATCAAATAATATTAATAATCCAAATTGACCCACCAAATCTCCCCAAATCTTTTTAATTCACAGAATCCAGTGTTCAGTTTCAAGGATGTTTCTTATTAATTATAGTCCACCTTGCCTTAAAAATCTTCAAAAGGCTCACTAAATACTTCCAAACAGCTAAAATGCTAGTAGATATAGAACCAAAATAAAGAGGTCTTCCAGGTGTTGTTTGCCTTTCACTATTTCCTTTCTTCTTCTCTTCATTTTTCTTCTGTTCCTTCTGTTATCTTCTTTCACCAGAAGGTGGCACCCTAGCTCTATGTTCCAGCCTCAAACAGAGCAAAGATAGAACAGCTGACTGTCAAACCACTTGAGTAGAAAGAGGGGAAAAAACTCAATTCCTTTTTCTTTATACAATTTCTTCCAGTAATCAGACAATATTATCTGCAAATTATGTCACTTTTCAGACTACTACAAGTTCCAGTCCAGGCTTTCTATATTTTAAATCTTCATAGTCTTCCATTAAAGGTTTGTTTCACTTCTGGATCTGAAATCTTTCTGTGTTAAATCGCTGCTTTCTTCGCATTTCGAAGAGTCCTTTTTTTAAAAAAAAAAGAAAATTCTTTTATTTGGGTTAAAATATCTAATATAGAAGTTGAAAGTCATCTCACCCAGTTCCAATCCTCTGTCCACATTGCTTCAGCTCATAATCTTCTTGTCCCGTTTGTCACATCTTCGGTCTTGCCAAAATGACCGTCGTTTCTGCTGCCAATCTGGAGGGTTTCTGTGGATCAAACGAAAAAATTGCTGTTTCCTCGCAATTTACAAAGTGTCCCTCCTTTCTTCACCAGCCCTTCAGGGTGGCTTTGGTCCCGTAGGGTCTTCTGGCAAGCAAGTATCGGCTGGGTTTCACGAAGCTCCATGGAGCTCCGCTATCTGCTATCTGTCCGCTGCAACGCCAACTAGTCAATCCTAGACTTTTTTCTCTGTGTTGATTGGAGAGAGATATGACCACTAATAATAAATAAATAATGATGGCTTATCCATGCACAGTTGCACTTGTCATGCCTAATATCCTGCATTTTAGAAAGATAGCATTGTGAAAGTCATTTTGAAATTATTTATGTAAATTTGATATTGGTCTTTGTATCATCTTCATCCAATGAGTATTATGAACTGAAAAAGTTACGGTATTAATAAATTTGTACAGTAGAGCCTATTCACAGAAATTAAGTGATTAAATGAGCAAGTAATTAAATGAGAAATTTAAAAAATGAATCTGTAAAAACTATGTGGAATGTTTATCTTGTAAAACCTAAAAAATAAAAGACAACAGATAAAAAACAATGTTAGTCCAGTCTTCCATTTTTTGGTTTTAGGGAAGGTTATTTTTTATAGAATAGAATGAGCTGGAAGGGACCTTGGAGGTCTTCTAGTCCAGTCCCCTGCTCAAGCAGAAGAACTTATACCATTTCAGATAAGTGACTATCTAGATTCTAGACTCTTCTTAAAAACATCCAGTGATGGAGCGCTCACAATTTCTGGAGGCAAGCTGTTCCACTGGTTAATTGTTAGGAAGTTATTCCTTAATTCCAGGTTGCTTCTCTTTTTGATTAGTTTCCAGCCATTGTTTCTTGTCCTGCCCTCTGGTGCTTTAGAGAATAATTTGACCCCCTCTTCTTTGTGGCAGCTCCTCAAATACTGGACTACTGCTATCATGTAACCCCTAATTATTCTTTTCTTTAGACTAGCCAAACCCAAATCCTGCAGCCGTTCTTCAAAAGATGGTTGTTTCGCAGCTTCAGAGGGGTTTTAGATGAAATGGATTATCTGGACCCCTTTCAGTCAGGATTCAAGCCTGGTTATGGGACAGAAATAGCATTGGGCACACTTGTGGATGATCTCAGATAAGAGCAAGGTGGATGTAGTGCAACCATCCTTGCTCTTCTGATTTCTCAAGAGCCTTTAATACTATTGACTATGGTAACCTTTTGGACCAGCTGTGCAGTTCAGTTTCAAGAACTGGCCATAAGTGTCCATATTCAGTGCCATTACAATTTCAAATGGTCACTGAATGAATGATCATTAATCATGGATTACCTATAAACCTCTCCTCCTATTCGCTTATGGTATCTCAGTTATCACATCATCTAAAATAGATAGATTAGAGTCTCTCTGTTTATGTAAATAATAATAAAGTGCATACTCCTAATTAAAATTATATATATATATATATATATATATATATATATATATATATATATATATATATATATATATATATATATATAGTGTGTGTGTGTGTGTGTGTGTATGTGTGTATACACACACACACAGAGAGAGAGAGAGAGAGAGACACTATACTACTATATATATAGTTAAAAAAATACAATGTTGCTATATTGTATGACTGACTTATAGTTTTATCTTACAAATGAATTTCTGATATTTTAAAGGTATCCAAAGATCTGCCTGAGAAAGAGAAAGAAATTGAATTTATGTTAAATAACTTGAATCAATTTGAACAGCACTTAAGTCAGCTAAGATTGTGGCTTACTCCCATCAAGGATCAATTGGTACTATACAATCAAGTGGATCAACCTGGAACTTTTGACATTAAGGTAATGTTTAATTTGAATGTTTTTCTAAATATTTATCTATACATTGTAAAATCCATTTAAAAATCAATTATTTTCTTTATTAAAAAGTAGTACAAGACACAATGATGAAGTCATAAATAGTTGCTTAGTTATTTAAATGTTATGTAATTATCCATTTGTATTATTTGGTTATTTCATTTTTAAATATACATTTTAACCATGTTCCACTTCTATTAAGTATAACTACATACAGAAATTGGATTCACCTTATTTCACCTTATCCCAGTTAGGCTAACCCACAAGTATATATGGTAATACTTTTTAAAAGTATTAAAAGTATCCGTATATCCAATATAATGTTCAGATTTTTAAGTTAAATATCATGAAAAATGGATAATCTGTGAATTAGCCACAGATAAACCAATTGTGGACTCACTGGAGAAACGCCTAATGCTGGGAACAATTGAGGGCAAAAGAAGAAGGGGATGACAGAGAATGAAGTGGCTGGATGGAGTCACTGACCCAGTCAACGTGAGCTTAAATGGACTCCGGGGGATGGTAAAGGACAGGAAGGCCTGGAGGAACATTATCCATGGGATCATGATGGGTTGGACACGACTTCACAACTAACAACAACGACAACAACCAATTGTGAAACTTAAAACCAGGGGTAGTATTCACTTACCTTCGCTACCGGTTCACAAAAGTCAGGACACGCGTGTGCGCAGGGCCTTCCATGCATGCACAGACTGTCAAAAATGGGACATGATGACAGCAGGGTGGGTGGACAGAGCCTCTCGCAGCTGATATGAAAATGTAGAGGGTGAATTAATCTGCAGGTGGCACATTTCACATGATATTTTGATTAAAAAATTGATGGGCTTATTCACGGATGGGTTTATATATGGGTATATATGGTATATATACAAGAATATATACAAACTCTTTTTTTTTTTTTGCATATAACTTTAATTATTTAACTCTTCTCAAATTTATTTCCCTTGATGTTTGCCATTATACTTTTGTCTTTTTTTAGGCTGAAGGGCTCATTTTTTAAATTCCAACATAAAAAGTAAAATTTCCTCAAAAATTTGTAAACTTTATCTTTCTTGTCATGTAAAGCATCTTGCAGTGAAGTCTTGTCAGGCTCTTAGCAAATAAGCTTACTGCAGCTTATTGCCGCATTTGCATGTGTCATTTGTTTTTATTTTTTCTCTTTAAACATTTTATTAGATTATAGAATAAAATACAAAAATACAACAAGCAAATAGTTTAGTTTAGTTAGTTTAGTTTATTTGATTTGTATACCGCCCTACTCCTGAAGGACTCAGGGCGGTGAACAGCCAACAATAAAATATATAAATACACAAAATTTAAAAACCCGATAAAATCAAATTAAATTATTTGGCCCAGACAAATTAAAATACCCCAATAATTTAAAAACAGATTAAAATTTACGTATTTAAAAAGGGAAGAGATCAGGCCAAGCCCGCTTGATGGAATAAAAAGGTCTTCACAGCACGGTGGAAGGAGCGCAGATCCGGGATCCTCCGTATCTCTGGGGGGAGCTCATTCCAGATGGTAGGTGCCCCCACAGAGAAGGCTCTCCCCCTAGGGGCCGCCAGTCGACACTGTTTGGCTGACGGCACCCGGAGGAGTCCCTCTCTATGAGAGCGTACTGGCCGGTGGAAGGCTATTGGTGGTAGTAGGCGGTCCCGTAAATAACCAGGCCCTAAGCCATGGAGCGCTTTAAAGGTGATAACCAAAACCTTGAAGCGCACCCGGAAGACCACCGGGAGCCAGTGCAGCTCGCGCAGGAGAGGTGTTACATGGGAGCGCCATGTCGCTCCCATTACCACCCGCGCGGCCGCACTCTGCGCCAGTTGGAGCCTCCGGGTGCTCCTCAAGGGGAGCCCCATGTAGAGAGCATTACAATAGTCCAGATGAGAGGTTACGAGGGCATGAGTGACCGTGTGTAACGAGTCCCGATCCAGAAAGGGACGCAACTGGCGAATCAGGCGGACCTGATAAAAAATCCTCCCGGTCACGGCCGTCAAGTGCTCTTCTAAAGACAGCCGTGAATCCAGGAGGACGCCCAAGTTGCGAGCCCTCTCCGTGGGGGCCAATGATTCGCCCCCAATAGTCAGTGATGGCGTCAACTGGCTATATCGGGACATCGGAAACCACAGCCACTCGGTCTTGGATGGGTTGAGCCTGAGCCTGTTCCTCCCCATCCAGATCCGTATGGCCTCCAGGCACCGGGACATCACTTCAAGGGCATCGTTGGGGTGATCCGGGGTGGAGATGTACAGCTGGGTGTCATCAGCGTACTGATGGTACTCCACCCCGAAACCATGGATGATCTTGCCCAGCGGCTTCACATAAATGTTGAACAAGAGAGGTGAGAGGACCGACCCTTGCGGCACCCCACATATGAGGGGCCTCGGGGTTGACCTCTGTCCCCCTGTCAACACAGACTGTGACCGGTCAGAGAGAGAGGAGGAGAACCACCACAACAGAGTGCCTCCCACCCCTAACTCTTCCAACCGGTGCAGCATGATACCATGGTCGATGGTATCAAAAGCCGCTGAGAGATCTAACAGGACCAGGACAGAGGAGCACCCCCTGTCCCGAGCCCTCCAGAGATCATCAACCAACGCGACCAATGCCGTTTCCGTGCTGTACCCGGGCCTAAAGCCCGACTGGAACGGATCCAGATACGTCGTTTCATCCAGGTGCTGGGGGAGCTGTTGCGCAACCACACTCTCAACAACCTTCGCCACAAAACGAAGGTTGGAGACCGGACGATAATTTACCAACATTGCCGGGTCCAGGGAAGGCTTCTTGAGGAGAGGCCTCACCACCGCCTCTTTCAAGGCGGCAGGAAAGACACCCTCACCCAGCGAAGCATTTATAATCCCCTGGAACCAGCCTCGTGTCACCTCCCGAGAAGCCAGCACTAACCAGGAGGGACACGGGTCCAATAAACAAGTGGTTGCGTTCAGTCTACCCAGAATCCTGTCCACGTCCTCAGGGGTCACAGGATCAAACTCATCCCAGATAACATTCTCAAGACCTGCCCCAGTCCCTCCCCCTGAGACTATCCAGTCGGAGTCCAGATCTTCCCGAATCTGAGCGATTTTGTCATACAGATATTGAACAAAATCCTCGGCTCTACCCTCCAAGGGGTCCTCCCGCGCTTCCTGGTGGAGCAGGGAGCAGGTCACCCTAAACAGGGTGGCCGGGCGATTATCTGATGATGCAATAAGAGCAGCAAAATAGCTACATTTCGCTGCTTTTATCGCCACTAGGTAATTCCTAATATGAGCTCTTACCAGTGTCCGGTCAGATTCAGAAAGACTGGCCCTCCAACTACTCTCTAGGCATCTTTTCTGGCGCTTCAACTCCCTCAGCTCCTCAGTGAACCAAGGAGCTAAATGAGATCGGCGCCGGGTCAGAGGCCGCAAAGGCATGACCCGATCCAGAGCTCTAGCGGCCGCTGGAAGGAAGACATGGGGGGGGAGAAAGGGAAAGACAAGGGAGGGAGGGAGAAAAGAAAAAAAAAGTGTTAACTTTTGACTCCCTCTGTTGCAGTAGAACAGGGGTCGGCATCTGCGGCTCCAGAGCCACAAGCGGCGCTTCGAGCCCTCTGCTGTGGCTCCCTGTCCCAGGAGTGCAGGAGCGAAGCTGCCCTGTACCTGACTTCGCACCACATTTGCACATAAGGCAGCCTTCGCTTCCTGCCATTTCAGGCTGGAGTCCAAAAAATAAATAAGAGGGGCAGGGCCAACCAGTGATGGGACAGGATTGGAAACTCCTCACTTTGAAATGGCAAAGTGCTGCCGGGGTGGGTGATGACATGGTAAGGTGATGGCCAGAACATTAGTGCAGGAGAAAAGCTGCATCCTATTAAGACCCTCCTAAGTGAGTGGCCGCCCACCCCGTGCACGCCTTTGCTGCGCTTTGGTGCTCACTTGAGGATGGTCTTCCTGCACGTGCGAACGCTCCTGGCTCAGCCACAGCTGGCCAGGGAGTTACGAGGGGGGGAAGGAGGAGGACAGTCACCTGAAGGGAGGGGGAGAGAGAGACACATACACACGCACATATACAGAGAGAGAGAGAGACATAGAGTGAGACACACAGAGTGATACACAGAGAGGGGGGAGAGAGAGGGGAAGATAGGGAGAGGGACAAACACAGAAATACAGAAAGGGGGGGAGAGGGGGAGATAGGGAGAGAGAGAGAGAGACATAGAAAATAGTTTTGTGGCTGGGTAGGTGTGGTTAGATGGTCATGTGACTGGGTGGGAGTGAGGGACATCGAGTTGGCCATGCCCACCCAGGTTTTATGGTTCCTGGTGTGGTTTTTTTCTGTAGGAAACAGGTTGAAGTGGCTCTTTGAGTGTTTAAAATTGCCGACCCCTGCAGTAGAATAAAGCATTAATATCAGACCTCAATGTTTTACTTTTCCATAATAATATAAATTAGCCATTTCTATAAAAACAAATCAATCTAATCAGTAAAACCCAAAATCAAAAGTTTCATTTTTTTCCATCTTAAGCACAAAGTCCAAAAACGGTCTCCATGTAGCAATAAAAGTACTTATTTTCTTTTCTTTGACCAAAACAGTCAACTTAGCCATTTCTGCCAACTCCATCAACTTCTGTAGCCATTTGTCCATGGTGGGAATTGAAATATCCTTCCAGTTTTGTGCGTACAGTAGTCTTGCTGCTGTCAACATATGTAAGATCAAAGTTACAATTTTTTCCCCAGTCTTTTTCCATTAAACCCCCAAGAATATCTCTATTCAACACTTCTAACACCAAGATGAACAGCAGAAGGGACAAGGGGCATCCTTGTCTCGTACCCTTTTGAATTTCACATGAGTTAGTTAAATCATCATTAATGACAATATTTGTTTTCTGTGACTTGTAAACCACTTTGACTCCTTGAATTAAAGTTCTCTCCAAAGTCCATTTCTTCCAGCGCTTTAAACATAAAAACCCAATTTAAATTGTCAAA